GCCTGACACACCTCTGATAATGCCATTTGGTAGCTGCAGGGTCATCAGCGGGGACGTCTCCCTACCGGCCCCTGCAGCTACCTTCAGGATACTTTCTTTCCCCACGCTCTATTCTTCCTTCTCAGCCAAAGCCAGAAGCTTGCTCTCCTCAGCTTTGACCTGATCACTCCCAGATTTTTCAGGAGGCGCTGAATGGACGCTCCAATGAACCCTCTGCAGCCCACCTTTACGGGGCAGACAATGGCTGACCATCCTGTCTCTCAACACTTAAATATATAGCAAAGCTAGAGCAGCACATAGATTTTGCAACATGTTTGTGATTTCATGCACTATATGTTTCTGGCATTTATAATGCCACTGTAAGCACAAAAAAATGCAACAGAAAAAAAAAAGCTGTGGGAACAAATCACTCTCAGGAATGGTAGAGATTCAGCTTTTCATGATTTTGGCAATAACCAAACCAATCTGAGTGGTTCAAAGAAACTTTACCAAAACTTCATCAAAAAAAAACCAACAAAAAAAAACATTAAAATGAACCAAGGTGCATAAAAAACATGTTGTTTTTTTTTGCATTTGACTCCAAGTGTAGTGTGTTTCAGAGACGATGTCTATCTGTATGTAGAATGAATGCCTGAGTGCATGTTTGGCAACTGTCACATATGTTTGTGAGTGATTCCCAAGGAGAGACAGAATGTGCCGTAAGTGTGCCATTGGAGAAGCCTGATGGAGGGACTGTAGAAAAAACTCTAGCTGGCACAGACTGGCATTCAAATAAGCCCCAAACAGTTTAATGATAAGAACATGTTGGGGTGAAGGAGAATGATTATGGCTAAAATTAAGAGGACAGTAAGTATGACAATGATAGGGAGAAGGAAGAGAAAAATTGAAGGGATTGACCCTGCTCGGTGGATCTTGGTACCTTCAGTAAGCAACACCAGGTCTAAACAGACTGAGAAGAGTGGTGTATGGGAAGGAAACACAGGGAGCAGAGGGTGAGAAATTTCTTTAGCTGGCTGGCTGTCAGACACTTGCCTCTGACTCACCTACCTCCTGCTACTTTCCCCCGCTCTGTCATGTAGGGGGGAATGAGTTTGGGCAGGAAGAGAGGCTGTTAAGAAAGAAAGAACTCAGGAGAAAGCAATGGGGTTTCCAGCTAATGATGTGTGAGGGCTAAAGAGAGACACAATTTAAGAGTGAAGGAGAGCAGGAGGGGGCATATAGCTGATGCTCTGATGGACAACAAGTCACAGCTGTATGAAAGTTGCCTCCCATACCAGGTGTCAGATGGTTATAGTGTGTGTGTGTGTGTGTGTGTGTGTGTGTGTGTGTGTGTGTGCGTGCGTGCGTGCGTGCGTGCGTGCGTGCGTGCGTGCGTGCGTGTGTGTGGTTAGAAAACTCTTCACCTCCAATTTCAGGCAACATGGTACTTCTATCTCAATCTATTTCGCTGTCTGCCTCTTTCCACCTTCCTTGAAATCTCTGTCTTTTCTTGAGTGCTCAATGGTCTTCCCTCTTTCTCTTGAATGTCATTCCATGTTCCCTCTGGCATTATGGTTGACAATGAGCCAGTGTCAGCACAACTGTATTTGAAATGTGCTGTCTTCTCCAACCAACCAGTGCGCAAATTGCTGTCTTTTCGAGGCTGGGTCAGGACATTCTTTAACTGTGTTATAGAAAAAGCAATAAGTCCATTGTGCAGCCCAATACTGCATCATCCTTTTCTAGGGCTCCAAATTGTACCAAACAGGGCTTTAATGTGAACACAACAGTGTCTGCTCTTTCCTGATTTAGAATATATTCTTTTGTGTTATATTATGTAGCGATTTGAATTTATAATAAATGTCTGAAGATTAATAATCTTAAATTACGACATTTATGCACTCTTTGAAAGGGCATCACCCACCCTTAATGGTGGGAAAATAAAGAAAACTAAAAGTTTAATTCAGAAATTAAACAATAAGTCAATCTTAAATTAATCAATCTCATATCTCAAGCCGAATTTCTCATTCTCATCCTCATTTCAGGGACTCCACTTCTGAAAGAACACTAACAGACAAGAACTTAGAAAAATAATGATCTGTTTATTACATGATAAATGATGGTACAACATACATGCAATAAATAATGATAAGATAATGAGGATAAATAATAATAGGTGAATAATAAAAGATTCTGAGTCAGGCTAGGAGCACTTGGCAGTTAATGACAGTTAATGACAGATAGAGAGGTTGAGCTCAGAAGACGACCGAAGGCAGGGAAAGGTGGGCCAGGAGTTGCAGCACCCAGGCCCAAAGCAAAAAACATTGCCTTGTGTACCCTTTGGATGCTCCTTTGGTCTCACTCAAAACTCTGGCACAGAGGATGACTTTGGGCTTGCTGGATGGCGTTCAGAGGACTTTGAAATCACACAGATAACTCAGAAAAAGAGGCTCGATGGCCAGTCGAAACTATTTCAAGTTTACTTTGCGAAATTGAAGAAAAATCAATTAAAGTCTTAACCTTGAATTGCTCTGCACACAAAAAGTTGAAATTTCAAAACTTGAACTAAGAAAAATCAGACAATGTGACTGAACGTGTGGCGTGACACTTAGAAGGCTAAGAAAAAGTAAGACTACGTAGTAAGAGCTAAGAGAAAACAAAGAAGAGGAACACAGAAGAGTGTGAGCAGTGAAGAGCCAAGGAGAAATAAGAGTAGAACTGAAGAGTGAGCACCCCCAACTTTACTGGTTTTATCTCCTTCACCCTGGGAGTGTCTCTGGGGTGTATGTGTGAGGAGAAAGAGGAGGGGTCGTGGGGTCTCCAACTGCAGAGGAGATCTGAAATGTAGAATCACATCAAACATTCTCATTTTGTTTTAAGTGTCACACTGAACATGCTAAATTACTTTGAAATAAAACAGACAGTAACACATAGAAACTGTGAACAACAAGAGAGTAAACACATGTGAATGAACTTTATCATGATCAGTAATGAATTCTAAATCCACATATTCAGATTATTCAATGACATTATAACCACCTAATGGTTAACAACACTAAATAAATTATTAAAATATAAACCAAACATTTAGAATCTATTTCTGGTACTAAGAGTAAAGTTTATGATTCATGGTCAATAAATTTAACTCTTACAAGTTCATGAAACAGTCTGAAAAGCTGTTGGTTTAAAGGATTTATTCTGTTAGAGTGATAACTTGGCTTCTGGAGCACATAGAAAAATGAGGCACATTTCATTTTAACACATATTTCATGATTAGACAGATTAGTACATTGCTGAATGCATAAGATGTCATGATCAATCATTTGTATTCTTTCTCCAAAGGGATGCAGTTTTGTATCAGAACATGGTTGAGCAGGGTTTTAGACCGAGGTCTGGAGGTCAATGTCCTGCTCCTCAGACCTTTCCTTGGGGTCTGTGTGTTCACTCACTTAAAGACGGTAAATCTCAAATGGAAGACCTGAATTAGGTATCAATGTTTATTTATGTAACCCAGGTCCCACGGATTTTATTTAAACCAACTTACTCTTTCACAGTGAGACTGGGCCTGGGCTCGTTAATAATGACCACCACAACGACTGTGTGGAAGCAATAATCCTCAAAGGGTATTTATTTATTTTCAAGTGGGTTTTTTCTTTTTTTTTTTAGCTTCGAATTTAACTAATATTGCAAATTTTCATTTATGTCACAAATTACACTTATTGGCTTTGAAAGGGAATAAAAGAAAAAAAACGGGGACAGAAAATGTGTTTTGTTTTTCACCTGCTATCTAAATACACAACCGGATTCAATATTCATACACCCAAAGCTAACAAACCCACCCACTCATCTCACCAACCGACCCACATACACACGCACACACAAATGGAGGAAACTCGTTGCAGGCCTGAGGTCGACACTTGGGTGCGTAGAGGCCTAAAACGAATATGGCCACTTCACTCCAAGTGGAGCAGAAACAAAAAAAGCACGTGCACGCTCTGTACTCACTGATTTTTGGGGGGTATTGGTTAGTAGGGAATGGTCAGGGATGGAAACCTCATGCGGGGAAAGGGAAATGGCAATGGCAATGGCAATGGCGATGGCAATGGCGATGCAGGGAAGGTGGCGAACACACAGACGTCACACCCGAAGAAAAAAGGCAGCAGCAACGATGTCCTCATACGAAAAGGAAACAGCAGGAACGTCGATTGGGTCCCGTCATCCACCTCTCTCCTCCTCCAATGTCTCTTAAACACATATTACATACACTTGAACCACTGCACCACATGCTATTCCTGGCCGAACTAGCATTAGCTTCGTAGGCTCATCGCTAATTAGAATGTCGCTAATCAATATCTCGTCCATCCATCTCACACTACAACAAATTATTCACAGCACACTCATCACATTCACCTCTGACCATTCACGCTTGAAGCTTATATTGGATCCACGGTTAGTCGACCTCACAAAATAAACTCCTCCGATCCTGACGACACGTAAAACTTTGTCCTTCCTTAATCCTGACCTCGTCTCCGTTCTCCCTTACTGCACTGCACGCAAACTTGCCCCGGTAGTCCCACCCCCTTTTGTGGAAATACATCACCAATTGGCTATAACAGTCAGATAACAACCAATAAGAACGCGATACTGACATAACTGACACTTCAGAACAACAGGTTAGATTGTACATACAAACGCTCGCAGACAACAAACGTGCATACCTTTTTTAACTATTTAAGAATTTTTTTACTGTATAGAATATCTTATTAAATGATACAAATTCTGATTGTTCTTTCTTTTCTAATTTTTTATCCACAAATTTATTGTAGTTATTTATAGACTGGTATATACATATTTATTTAATTATGTATTTATTTATTAATCTATTTATTTATTTATTAATCTATTAATCTATTTATTTATTTATTAGATGATTTTGGAAGCACTGAAATTGAGTGATTTTAATCAGGGCTACACCCTCCCCCTTCTGAATGTGTGGATGTCCTCATCACACTTTGTATCTCTTACACTTGGAAGGGTGACTCCTGTTCTCCTCTTCTTCGTATAGTTTGGATGCTTTTCACTTTTTTTCTGGGTTTGTGATCTCGGTTGGGAGAGTGTAGCTTGAGTTGAATAACCATACCATGGTGCATGATGGTAACGGGTTCACTGGATGGATGACCTGGTTTCTCGTAAGTAAATCTCATAGGTGGTTTGGGTTTTCTCGTAGATTTACAAGCAGTAGAGGACCTTTCACTTTCACTTCTTGTGCATTTAGAAGTTTTATTCTGGCAGACTTTGCTTGACAGGGATGAGTTCGTTCTCTCCTCTGGCTCAGGTTCCTCTTGTTCATCATTGGTCTTTTGGACATCAGAGTCTGACTGTGAAGGTGCAGCATCCTCAGACAATCTGATCATTTCGACATCAGACATTGGCTGGTTTTCAGCAGTTTCCATGTGTTCCTCTTCAGAGCTTTCACTCTCTCCAGAACTCTCACTCCTCTTGCGCTCCTCAACACATTAGTTTATTGTTTTGAAATGTCTCCTGACCTCATCCATGTCAAAATCTGGAGGACCATGACCAGTTTCAAGATCGGCATCCAATGACATGGTGTCACTTTCTTCTGTTGGGTCAGCATGCTTTAGAGCTTGAGAGCTTTTCTGGGCCTGTTGTGATCTAGTAACAGGTCGCCTTGCAGGGTTCTTGTCATCTGAGGGGTGTGACATCCGGACCAAATATCCGATGGGTAACAGGTGGTCTCGATGGAGAATTTTGACCACACCTGGACCATGCTCGGGTTTGACTTTGTAAACTGGCAGGTTGGGCAACTTCTCCACCACAACATATGTGGTTGATTTCCATCGATCTTGAAGTTTATGCTTGCCTTTCAGACCCACATTCTGAATGAGTATGCGGTCACCCTGCTCCAAAGGTAAATCTCTCACACGGTGATCGTAACGTGCTTTGTTTTTCAAGTGAATCTTTGTAGCAGCGTCAGATGCCAACTTATAGGCTTTTTGCAACTCTTTCTTCATCTTTGCAACATACTGCTGGTAAGAGGTTTCATCTTCCCCGTTTGGTGAGATTCCAAAACAAATGTCAATGGGCAACCTTGCTTCTCTTCCAAACATGAGACAATACGGTTTGTTCACAATTAGATGATATTGTCTCCAACCAGCAACGCCACCTGGGGACTTGCACCCCAGGAAACTGTACTTTCAGACTAAAATCATAACAGGAAGCCAAAATAAGAATAAGGCAACACAGGTAAATTCTGAAAGAGGCAGAGACAGAGTTCAAAATGTTTATTAGATCAAAAATGAAGTTAAACTTAAATATAACAGAGAAATTTAACCTAGGAGGGAAAGAAAGGGATAAAGTTAAAACAACATAACAAAACACAGATAAGGGTCAAGAAAGTTAATTTTATTTCTATAATAATTTAAAACAAGGCCTTCTGCAAAAGTTAAAAATGTACAATAAACCCAACTTAAACTAAATCAAAGAAACCCAAACTAAGTGTAGCGATTTGTAATGAGCCTCACAAGGCCGCACCAAAATAATACTGTAGCGATTGGAATTTATAATAAATGTATGAAGATTAATAATCTCAAATTATGACATTTATGCACTCGTTGAAAGGGGCACCACCCACCCTTAATGGTGGGAAAATAAAGAAAACAAAAGTTTAATTCAGAAATCAAACATCAAGTCAGTTTTAATTAATCAGTCTCATATCTTAAGTCGAAATTCTAATTTCAGGGACTCCACTTCTGGAAGAACACTAACAGACAAGAACTTAGAAAAATAATGATCTGTTTATTACAGGATAAATGATGGTACAACACACATGCAATAAATGATGATAAGATAATGAGGATAAATAATAATAGGTGAATAAATAAAGATTCTGAGTCAGGCTAGGAGCACTAAAGTTAATGATAGTGAGTGAATATGCGCTAACATATTAACCTACACTAACTTTGGTGTCGAGATATACTCGGATGTGGATTTGGAGGAATCTAAGATCACCAGAAATAGGTGGATATCTGAGTTATGAACGCATGAGACAGCATCAGCCCTGTCTGGAGCTCTGGAGGTTTGCATACTTAAGTGAGACTGGTCCTTGGAGAAGATGGAGCAGGTTCCGAAAGTCCGGGGCTACTGGCGGTTCGAGCGGTTCAGCTCAGAAGACGACTGAAGTCAGCCGAAGGATGAGCCAGGAGTTGCAGCACTCAGGCCCGAAGCAAAACCAGCGCCTGTGGATCCTGTGGATGCTCGTTTGGGTACTTCTTTGGTCTCACTCAAAAACTCTGGCACAGAGGATGACCTGGGCCTGCTGGGTTGCGTTCAGAGGTGACTTTGAAATCACGCAGATAACTCGTAAAAACGAGACTCGAGCAGAGTAAACTTTCAAAAATGGCTTCGCGAAATTAAAGAAAAATCAATCAAAGGCTTAATCTTGAATTGCTATGCGCACAAAAAGTTGAAGTTTCATAACTTGAACTAAGACGATGTTAGAGAAAAATCAACGTGAATCAACACGTGGCGTAAACCTTAGAAGACTAAGAAAAGTTCTAAGAGAAAACAAAGAAGAGGAGAGAAGAGGAAGGGTACAAGAGTACGGGGCATAAGAGAAGAGCAGATAAGACTGAACAAGAGAGTGAGCAACCCCACTTCACTGGTTTTATCTTCTCACACTGGGAGTGGCTCTGGCATGTGTGTGTGTGTGTGTGTGTGTGTGTGTGTGTGTGTGTGTGTGTGTGTGTGTGAGAGGCAGAGGAGGGGTCGTGTGGTCTCCAAGCAGAGAGGACCTTGGATCTCTGATTATTTGATCTAACTTATACTTTTGGCTGGTAAAAGAGTCAGATCTGATACTCACTCACTATGATTAATATCATTGAATGCTTGGTTTCATGATAAATAATTTGATACTAAACACATATGAATGAAGTGTAGGATCACATCAAACATTCTCATTATGTTTTAAGTATCACATTGAACATGCTAAATTACTCTGAAATGAAACAGATAGTAACACATGGAAACTGTGAACAACAAAAGAGTAAACACGTGAATGAAATTCATCATGATTAATAATGGATTCTAAATACTCACATTCAGATTATTCAATGACATTATAACCACCTAATGGTTAAAAATACTAAATAACAACTAAAATATAAACCAAACATTTCTAAACTATTTCTTTTACTTAGAGTAAAGTTATGATCCATAGTCAATAAATTTAACTCGTAAAAGTTCATGAAACAGTCTGAAAAGCTGTTGGTCTAAAGAAACAAAAGAATAAGGATTTATTCTGTCAGAGTGATAACTCGGCTCCTGGAGCACATAGAAAAATGGGAAACATCTCATTTTAACACAAATTTCATGATTAGACAGATTAGTACATTGCTGAATGCATAAGATGTCATGATCAGTCATTTGTATTCCTTCACCAAAGGAATGTAGTCTTTATCAGTGTATGGTCGAGCAGGGTTTTACGACCGAGGTCTGGAGGTCAGTGGTCCGGTAAATCTCAAATGGGAGATCCGGGTTGAAGCGTTAATGTTTATTTAGATGGTCAGCAATGGAGTCAGTTTGAAAGGTAATAAAAACTCTGTCTCTGTTCTCCGAATCGACCAATCGTGAAGAGTCAGAGGTTTAGTCAACCTCCGGTCGGGTCAATTAGGTAACCTGAAAGTGCACACAAGTCTGGAAAGATTTATATCCTGTGTCCTGGGATCAGATAAGGAAACTTTCCTGTGAGGAATGTGTGAGTCTCACACCAAGGGTTGTCTTGATTGCTACACAAGTTAACTTAAAATAAGCTGAGGCCACCAGAAGGGAGGCAGACTACAGAGGGAAAGTGCAGGGGAGTGCTCCCTTACACTCACCAAGTGAAGCACAGCACACACACTTCAAACCTTCAAAAAAAGAAACAAATTGGTGTAGTCTTGTGACCCTGTGTCAAACTCATGCAAAGGTGGAGGGCCCTCACCCGGGGTGCCTAGCCTCCCAAACTAGTGGGCTCAACTTCTGAAATAAAATAAAAGGATTAACCAAAGAAACAAACAAACCAGCAACAGCGAACCCCGTTGGTAAAACTAGAATCACTAAGGAGAAAAGCAACTAAGGGTAACTAAGAACAGAATACAAACTAATGGGGGAGTAACTGGGTAAAACAACCAAACTTAGAGGTAGAAACAAACCAAGTAAGGGGGGAAACCAATCAAAAGGGCAGAAACAACCAAAGTAAACAGGCAAAAATAACGACAGTTAATGGGGGCAACAAAACAGCAGCAGGTCTACCACCTACAAACAAAAAGGACATGCTGTTAAAAGCAATCATAAAACTCTAAAGATTAAAAGTTACCAGCCACCCTACTCACCAGCACTCCGAGCAGAGCAGCAGGCCGACTGCAGGTGAGCTGCTGCCTTTTATTCAGCTGACCTGATTAGGGGAAGGGAGGGGTTAGAGGAGGAGGGAGAGCTGCATTCAACAGCAGCAAGGTGCTGCCTGCCACAATAGGGGAAGGGAGGGGTTAGAGGAGGAGGGAGAGCTGCATTCAACAGCAGCAAGGTGCTGCCTGCCACACATGTACCAGGTAGGTGAGGTGTTGACTCCAACATTGTTTTTGTACATTGTCCAAGCTACCAAGCATTGCGAGGAGTGTCCGATTGAATCTTTCTGGTTGTGCATCACCTTGAGGGTGATAGGGTGAGGTTCTTGATTTTCGTACTCCCAGCATGGACAACAGCTCTTTAATGAGGCGACTTTCGAAATCTCTACCTTGATCAGAGTGTATCCGTGAAGGCAGGCCGTAATGTACGAAGTACTTCTCCCACAATACCTTCGCAACTGTGGTGGCCTTTTGATCTTTGGTCGCAAATGCTTGTGCATAACGCGTGAAGTGGTCTGTGACTACCAACACATTAGTAACACCTTTGGAATCAGGCTCGATCTGCAGAAAGTCAATACAAACCAAGTCTAAGGGGCCATTACTTGTTATTTGGTTCAAAGGCGAGGCATGCTGAGGGAGTGTTTTCCTGGCGATACATCTTCCACAGGTTCGAATATACTGCTCAACCTCAGCTGTCATCCATCCTTTATTTCCAACTTGCGACTCTCACAAAGGAGAAGAACAGTCTCTGGAGAATCATTTTTAGAACGAGTCAGCATTTTGTTGTTCTCCATGGCTTTCTTTAATGGCCCAATCGCTGGGTCCATCTCTTGTGATGCCTGGATATCTTTTGGGCTCAACTCGTCAAGGGTGTTTATGCTGAGGTTTGCTGGGAACGCATAGGCTTCTGGGATTATAGTTGCAGGAGCTCCCAGTTGATCAACCAACCTTTCAGGCACGTTTTCCTCTTCAGTTGAGCAGGCTCTTTTGCACAGTGCTTTTATGCCAGCAGGTGAGACACTTGTCCATTCTTTGACTTCTGGAGCATTTTGTCGGGACAAGAAATCAGCATCAATATTGTGCTTTCCAGGCCGATACTGGATGGTGAAATCGTAGGTGGCAAGGGCGGCGAGCCAACGATGTCCGACGGCACTGAGTTTGGCAGAGGTCAGCACGTATTTTAATGGGTTGTTGTCAGTCCTTACAACGAACTTGGCACCATACAAATAATCGTGAAATTTGTCCACAACAGCCCACTTCAGCGCCAAGAATTCCAACTGGTGGACGGGATAGTTGTGCTCAGAGTCTTTTAACTTCCTACTGGCAAAAGCTACAGGTCTGAGGCCCTCCGGATATTCTTGATTTAGGACAGCGCCTAGTCCATTCATGCTGGCATCCACATGTAATATGTACATCTTGGTGGGGTTAGCAAATGCCATCACTGGGGCATTAATCAGGCAGTCATGGATTTGTTCAAAAGCCTCCTGACAATCTGAAGTCCAGCGGTCTCCAAAAGGCTCTGATGGCTTGAAGTATACTTTGCTTGGCTCAACTCTTTTGTTGGATTTGGGGTTACGCCAAGTGGGAGCATAACCCTTGGTGAGCTCGGACAGGGGACGGACAATGGCAGAATAGTTGGCAATAAACCGCTGATAATAACTGCAGAATCCGAGGAAGGACTTGAGAGGCTTCAGGTGAGTGGGTGCTTTCCAATGTTTTACTACAGCCACTTTTTATGGGTCAGTAGCTATTCCATTTGCAGAAACAATGTGACCCACATACTTGACTTGAGGCTGACAGAACTAGCATTTGTCAATGGAAACCTTCAGTCCAATCTCCTCTAGTCGATCTAGAACCTTGAGAAGACGGATCTCATGTTCTTCTAGTGTTTTGCCAAATATAATGATGTCATCTAGATACACCAAGGCCTCCAGGAGGTGCATATCTCCAACAGCCTTCTCCATAAGACGTCGAAATGTCGCCGGCGCTCCTGTGATTCCTTGTGGAATGCGCTCAAACTGATAGAAACCGAGAGGACAAATGAATGCAGTCTTTTCTTTGTCCTCCGCAGCCATCTCTATCTGGTAGTAACCACTACGCAGATCTAGGACTGAGAACCATTTGCGGCCTGACAAGGAGTCTAAGGCGTCGTCAATGCGTGGCATGGTGTATTGGTCTGGTCTAGTACGGTTGTTGAGTGTTCTGTAATCACTGCATATTCTTATTGTTCCATTCTTTTTGCGGACGACGACAATCGGTGAGGCGTAGGGGCTACGAGACTCTGTGATAATTCCAGCGGCCAACAGCTGTTGCATGTGTCGCCTTACATCATCAATGTCTGCCGGAGCAATTCTCCTCGACCTCTCTCGAAAAGGTCTGGGGTCATGCAGGCTGATGTGATGTTCAACCCCCTTTGCTCTGCCAACATCCCACTCGTGCAGTGAGAATACATTTCGCCACTCACACAACTTCTGCCGCAGTCGACTCTTCCACTCTTCGGTAATAGGGGAGTCTCCAAAATTGAAAAGACTTGGGTCTACTGTTTCAGAGGCTAGTTCAGATGGCTGTATTGGGGTAACTGTGTCTACAGCATACATCTCCGCAATAACAGTCCCCACAGGAATGGTGGTTGTCTTCTTGGACTCATTTTGAATGAGCACAGTGAAACAGTTATCGTCAATATCAGGGTCGGGGAGCACACCAGGCTGTACCAGCACGCCAGCGGGTAGCAAATGGGCAGTGGGTGCATCAATCAGTACGAGGTCTTTAGATGGGACACTTTGTCTTTCTACTTTGCAGGTTGCATAATACTTTGCCCCTGGCGCAGTGGAAAGTGGATTGGGACCATTCCACTTTATGTGTCCCAAAACTTCATTCTTGGTGAACTGTTCTTGTGCTTTCACTGGGGCATTCACAGACTGAATTCTCATGGAATGAGCAATTTTCTGGTCATCTTTTGCCTCTACCAGTTCCCAAAGGCGGCGGAATAAGGATGTATTGGTTCCAACCAGCACAGGGGGTTGCTGCTGGTTTCTGGGATCGGGACAGATTAAAGCAAGCACTTCCACACGCCCTGATACACCAGTGATCTCCTCAGTAAACTCCATCTCCACAACAACATACCCTTTGTAAGGATACTCCGTGTCAGCAAGGCCCCAGAGGCCAAGACGAGAGAGGGGCTTTATTGGGACATCTGGCAAGAGTTGATTGTACCAGCTTTCAAAAATAATAGTCACATTTAATCCACTGTCAATGAGAGCATCACAGGCCATATCATTAACCCTGATGGTGTGAATGAACGAAGGACCTATGAGACCTTCAGGTAAGTCACTGGATTTCTCTGGGACTTCAACTTTGTTGGTACTAGCCAGGCATTGGTCTTCTATTGCAGACTCTGGACTGTCTTTGTTGAGGGGAGGGGACATTCGTACCAAGCGTATGAGTTTTTTGATAACCTTCTGAAGATTCTCAGGAGCAGTACATCTGGGGGCTATGTGCCCATTTTCTCCACACCAGTAACAGAAAAACTCATCATTGTCTTTGGGAGAGGACGCTTTTAGAGGTGCAGGCTTGTGACTTGGAGGGGCTCTGTATCTGTGAGGCTGGGGAGTGTGTTCTCGTGGCGGGTCAGATGTATATTTCACTGCCATTACACTCATTTTATTTTCTAGGGCTTTCACTTGTTTCCTCAGTGATTGCAAGTAACTCCAAGATTCATTTTTCTGTCTTTTATTTTCTTTAGGACCTTCAACAAAATCCTCAGGTGCTGACTGAGGTGGAGGGATATGTTTTTCCTCCAACTGTGCTCACAACTTGAATCTGTGCTTGTAGTTCACTCTGAGTTACATGGTCAGATACTTTCTCTTTTTCCGCTTGAAAGGTGCGTACACGTTGAGGACGCAGGGGTGTCACATGCTTTTGTCTGGCTGATGATGATGTCTGGACTTTCTCCGTCCTTCATCCTGTCCTCGTCTCCATTCTCCCTTACTGCGCTGCACGCAAACTTGCCCCAGTAGTCCCACCCTCTTTTGCGGAAATACATCACCAATTGGCTATAACAGTCAGATAACAACCAATAAGAACGCGATACTGACATGACTGACACTTGAGAACAACAGGTTAGATTGTACATACAAACGCTCACAGACAACAAACGTGCATACCTTTTTTAACTATATAAGAATTTTTTTACTGTATAGAATATCTTATTAAATGATACAAATTCTGATTGTTCTTTCTTTTCTTATTTTTTATCCACAAATTTATTGTAGTTATTTATAGACTGGTATATACAGATTTATTTAATAATGTATTTATTTATTAATCTATTTATTTATTAGATGAATTTGGAAGCACTGAAATTGAGTGATTTTAATCAGGGCTACATTTAGATGGTCAGTGATGGAGTCAGTTTGAACGGTAATAAAAATTCTGTCTCTGTTCTCCGAATTGACCAATCATGAAGAGCCAGAGGTTTAGGTCAACCTCCGGTTAGGTCAGTTGGGTAACCTGAAAGTGCAAACAAGTCTGGAAAGATTTATATTATCCTGTCTCCTGGGACCAGATAAGGGACCTTTCCTGCAAGGAATGTGTGAATTTCACACACACGGTTGTTTTGATGCCACAATTACATGCTTAAATTACCAGGTTGAAGTTTTGTTTACAATATGAGTAAGAATAAGAAACACTTTATTGATCCCTAAAGGGGAAGTCTGTCATTATGTCGTCATTTGTCAAGTCTCTAAAAGTAATCTTCTGTTCACAGAAGAGTTGTAAAGTCTGATGGCTGTGAGTACAAAGGATCTTCTGAATCTTTCTGTCCTGCAATGAAGGTGTTATGAAGTGGATGATCCATGTTCTTTAGAATAGTCTCCACCTTCCTCAGTGTAGATATCTCCACCACTTCCTCTGCTGAATCCAACCACAGAGCCAGCCTTTTTCACCAGTTTGTTGGGACGTCTTGCATCTTTGTGTTTGATGCTTCCTCCCCAGCAGACTGCAGTGTAGA